TTTAATATGTGTTTTTAAAAAAATTAATTTTTTTTGTTTTTTATTAAAATTTAATATAATTTATACGTTTTGAATCGTTTTGATTTATTGATGTTAAAAATAATTTTTTTAAATAAAAAATTATTTTATTGTATTTTCAAATAAAAGATATTTTAAAAAATAATTATTTTTATATTTTTAAATATCCTTTTAAAATAAAATAAAAGCAGCCCTTGTGATGAAGCTCTAGTGCTTGCAATGGTGCTCATGGTATACAAAGGAGTGCTTTTTATGATGAGATTCAAGGACAAGAACCCATTTTCGATCTTGAGCTATGGACAATGAAGAATGAGAGTTGGACAAAGCTATTCATATGCAGTGGTGTATTTTTTAATTGAGGGAGTAAATTACTAATAAATATTATATATTATATAGATATGTGTTATATATAAAAATCAATTTGAAATATATATATTAACTTATATCAAATGAAATTAATTTAAAAATATTTTTAAAACAAAAAAAATTCATATTATAATTATTTTCTTTGAATTTTTATATTTTAAAACTACTTTATAACGACTTTATTATTAATTTTATTAAAGATATTTTTTTAATATATACAATTAAATATATATAATTAAATTGTCATTCATTTATTTATTTTTCATTTTATTTTGCAATCAACTTTTGTCAACATACATAGTAGAAAAAACTCTTTTTACTGTATTAATTACAATTGATAAAAATAATGATAATTTGACAAGTATATCTATCAATGAAAATATTAAATTTTTGTTTTTATCATTTTTCTGTAAAACTAACAATATCAGAGAACTTATATTATTGCATAAATCAATAATATATATATATATATATATATATATATATATATTAAATTGGTCACCAAGTACTATAAGATCTATTATAAAGAATTTATTAGAATAAAAAAAATAAAATGAATTAGTTTTTTTTATTAAAAACAGAGAAAAAATTGCTTGAATTTAAATATGCCACAAAAAAAAAAATTATATTCGTCTCATTCAAACAATTATCCAATTTATTAAATTATGTGTCAATGATATTATTAAATAATTTATAATAAAAATGAGATAGATTTATAATGTGAAGCTTGATATTATTAAAAAGCTGGATTAAAGTATCAAATATAGAAATTTTTTATGATATACTATAGAAATAACAACCAAAAGTTCTCTTCGATTTTATGAAAATTTCAAGTTTTTTTTTGTTATATACATAGATTAATTTTTATTTTTCCATAAAATAAAATCATCACATATCTCTTTAAGTTTTTTTTAATTTTTACTTATTCGTTTGTTAAAAAAAAATAAAAGAATGATCTGAGACAACCAGCTTATAATTCAAACACCAGAAGCATTTTTTGAAGAATTCAAATATAATTGTTTTTTATTTTGAGCTTTGCAAGGAGAGAATATAGAGTTACGGACAGTCACAATACAATATATTAATACGTTGTCTCTTGAATTTTTATCTTTTACAAAATATAACTTAAGCTATTATATTAATTTTTTAATGTAAAAATTAAAAAAAAAAAAAAAAGTAACAGCTGCCCCCTTTTACCCCAGTAGAACTCCGCCCTTGTTTATATGCAGATCCCTTCCCAGAACTGGGATTTATCCTTGGGAATTTTTCCCTTTCTTTTTGTTTTGTTTTCTTTTTTACTTTAACATTTTTTTTTTAATGAATACTACATGCTCATAATTCTGTTTATATTTAATTAAATTGTGGTAATAATATGAAGGATATTCTGTTTTGTTTTTTTTTTTTTTTGTCAAATACAAACTTTATAATAGCATAATAATATTACGTTCAACCTATATCGATTTGTATCATATTGAGATACCTTAATTTGATAGCTAGGTGAGTGGGTTTATTTTAATATAATTTTCCTTTTTTAATTTAAACCGGAGAATATTTATTTTCCTCAATTCTCAGTAAATAAAAAGAGAGAAAAAACCCTAAAAACAGCCTTAACACAAACTAGCAGCTGCATAGTTTACTTCTTAATTCAAGCGACCCTTCTCTCTCTCTTTGATCAGTTTTCCAAAACATAAAGAGAGATCAAGAGTTAGGCTGCACCAACAAGCATGGCTGCCGGATCCTGTCTACCTGAGGATATGATTAGAGAAACTCTGTTAAGATTGCCAGTGCAATCCTTGCTTCGATTCAAGGTTGTGTGTAAACGCTGGCTGGCTCTGATTACAAGCTCCGACTTTATTCTCACACACTGCAAACATCGTCCAAAACACTCTATCATGCTCACAAACACTTGGTTCGGAGAAAATTATGGCATATCAGTGCTTGAAGCTGATGCAAAAGGTAAACCTGAGCATCGAAACCTACCATCGTCGCTGATGAATAATGTTGTCAAGTGTCGCGGCATTGGTTCTAGTAATGGTTTATTATGTGTTTATGTCAAAAACACACATAATGTTGATTATTTTTTATGGAATCTAGCAACAAGAAAACATCGGCTTCTGCTCTTTCCCCCAACATTAGGTCATTACACTCCTCGTACTTTTGGGTTTGGTTTTGTTCCTGAAACAAGTGATTACAAATTGCTTATAATTGATGATGCATCGTTCGAGGGCCATCTCAATCTCAAAGCTTTGGTTTACACATTGAGCACGGATTCTTGGAAAGAAGTCGAGGGAGTTACTGCCAGCCGGAGTTATCTCAGTCCTAAGATTTCTGTGGTGGTTCAGGGAATGTGGTATGATTTGATTTTCCGAGAGGAGGAGAACATTGTTCAAGGCACATTAAGGGAACCTCGGAAGGTACCATCTATACTCAAATTCAATATGGCTAATGATGTCTTCTCAAAGATTGAAGATGGTCTACCTTATGATAATGCTTGTGGCAGAAACTTGAACCTTATGGAGTACAAAGAATTACTTGCTATGGGCGTTTACAAGGATGAAGAAACAACTTTCGAGCTTGAGATATGGACATTGATGAAGAATGAGTACTGCTGGACAAAACTATTCGTGTGTAGACCTCTGCCCAAAATTATGACTATGATACCTCTGGGGTTTCGGAATGATAAAGAAATCATATTAAGTGATTATTCTACCGAATTATTTTATGACATTTTGCAATTGTACGATCCCTCGACCCAAGAATCAAGTGTGGTTTCCACATATGAAGATTTTATATACTTCGACGCTCATAATTACGTGGAAAGCCTAGTTTCAGTCGATGCTTGGTCATCAAGCTGTATGCAGATGTTTTCTTAACACGGAAAGGACCAAGCCATCGATCAGCAGGGGGCAAGAGAAAGCGGAAGAGAACAGGTTGGAATTGATGCATTCAAGTACGTTATAACTTGTAAGAGGTTTATGTGCTTTTGATTAATTAAATGGTACGGAATGATTCTCTTGTTTGAAATTTTTGTTATTTAACAATTAGATTCTGATGACTATATCAATCCAGAATCTTAATAAAGTTTTAGATTAAAGAAAGTGTTTTTCTTTTTTTTTTTTTCATTTCATTCTTAATTTTGTACAGAACATACAGCAATACGTGCAGGTTTATTAGGACTAATTTAGGGTCTAGATCCTCAACTTTTAGCTAACATAATATTCATACTAATTACAATGTAAGAAATTGTTTTCTATTTGTAGAATTCTTGTCAACACCAGAAATTACAGAGATTGAGTCGTATTTGTAGGATTCTGGTCAACACCGGTATTCCAAGAATCCAGGTATTATGTTTTCCAACCTTTAAACTATTAAAAAAAACTTCAAAACTTCGAATATCCTATTCATAAACTCAAAAGCGTGAGTTTAGATGTAATTCTAGTTTCCTTGTTAATAATTCATGAAGTTGATTCAATCCAATCAAAACAAGGTTAAAACTTGAAGAGAAAAGGTTGTTCGAGATTTAGTAAGAAAGAGATGGATTGTTTTGTTTTATACGGAGTTCTTAACACGAGACAGCTTCACAATAAGAATTCAAAGAGAGCACTGTGACTAAATCTCCATGTTGATTCAGAGAGAGATAACAATAAAAATTAACGTCTGATTTTATTATGAAGAGGACATACACATGGGGTGGAGATGCATATTAAAAGGTTAACGAGCGGGGTCAAATGCATATATTACAGACAGCATGATAGATCATGTTCTTCTCGATCCAGACGCATTAGGACTTTGTCAATTACTTGATTATATGCGGCCATCCCACCAACCATGGCACCTATAAAAAGGTTCGCAACCTCTATGGTAGCTATTTGCAGGTGTCTTCACACATGGGTGTCTTGGGCCACAGAAGGGTTCGTGATCACCTTTAACGATAGTTCCATAATTAATAGATCTCGTCGCCTCTGCGTTTCCTGCAAAAAGAGTGCATGCCATCAGCATGCAAAGCCCCAAAGCCATCAACTTGTTTGAGGGAGACATTGCTAACAAGGGCAATGGTCTTGTATGCTAATGTGTTCCAGGAAGGAGGGAAGAAAGGGATGGAAGCAGAGAGCTGAGGAGGTTATTAATTTGAATGCTAGTGGAAACCCATGGAATTTATGCATGCATGGATTTGCATATAATAAGGCATAGTGGTTGGCCTTTACAACTCATCCTGTTACCTCCATCCTACGTTGTGGATGATAAAAATACTTGTGGTCTGCGTCATTCCAAACAGCTGTGTGGCTGGGCTAGTTTTCTGTTAAAAAAAAACTGTGTAATTATCAGCTGGCTAAGACACCGAGAATCAAACATTTGGTAGATTGCTAAATAGCCAACCGAATGACCATCCCTGAATAGTTAGAGGATGAATGCAGATGCTATTTCTGGCAATTAAGGCCAGCTTGACGCTTAAGGGCTAATTAACTTCTGGAAGGTGAAGGAAAGAAGTCAAGTATGAAAGAAACAAGAAGATTTGATGATGATGAGACGAGAATATAGACAACTGGCACAGAATATTTGGCCAGGTATTACTTTCCAAGAGGTCCCGAGTTTCTTAAAATGTTCCCGTTGAGTTTTTTTTTCCGGGTACGCAGGGAATAAACCAAATATACTCTAAGATCTAATAAAGAAACTTGGACACACCAAATGCTTGACAAGAAATCGTATTCAGAACTCGAAGTATCCGCACCATACTATATCAAGCACACCGTAGCAGCAGAATGAACAAGGCAGATAGCATTCTGCAGTGTTTCCATTTCTAGTGTCAAATTCTCATCAGGTCACCCTGATAATCTGAAATAAAATCCACAGGTCTCTTGTAGCCACTATTTCCATTTTTCTTCAACACTATCAAGCGAAATAGTTGCTGGAGACCATTTTTTGAAATTCTAGAAATGGGAATACTGCAGACAGAATTGTTTGATAAATGAAAGGAAGGGAGAAGCGTCTTTTCGTGTGGATATTTGAGTGTTATCGATTAGGAGGAAAACTGTTTAAAGAAAATTGAAAACGTGCAAGAGACAGCTCCTGAATCTTGCTTTGCTATGTATGCTCTTACTGCTTCAGCACAAGATGGGCAACATTCATCGACAGATATGTGTGTGTGTGTGTGTGTGGATGCAAGAGAATAGTAACAGAGCATCCTGAGCTGTCAATTGGAAGAATTTAAGGTGTGCTAGGAGAGTCTTGGGCAAATCACTAATGGTTGACAAAATGAAGCCTGGCAAGAACCATAGGAAGAATTATGTATACCAAAAGAAATTATGGAATCTTAATAAAGTTTTAGATTAAAGAAAGTGTTTTTCTAGGCCAAGAACATGAACATTGGTTGGGATTTTTAACATCGTTTCTGGTTGAAACGAAAGAATAAGATTCGAAAGATCATATAAAAATGAAATCGTCAAATGCTGTCAACAATAAAAGTTCGGATCATTGAACTTTTGACAACCTCAAGGAAATATCGAAGATCTGCATTGTTAAGACTCAGATATATATATTCCAGCATATCTTAAATTTTAAACTTGATTTATGCTGAAATGTCACTGCAGCACAACAATACATATATTTGGCATTTTGTCATGACTTTAATCGACAGGGCTCCCCTTTATCCGACGCTTGAGAGTGTTGATTTTTGGGTTTACGATCAATCTAAAATATATACTGTCATAGGAGAAAAAAGATTTAATGGGAACAATAGGATATATATATTCTATTGTTTCCTATTAAATCGTTTTTCTACTATGACTCCTATGACAGTAGTGTTTGCCGGGTCTGGAGAAATTATATATGGGTCGCAGGTCCAGATCTTTATTGACAATAAAAGTTTCAAATATTTAATGTTGTAAGAGGAGTTAAATATATGACATAGGAGATGTGTGCAGTTGATAAAGGACTATAATTGTATGAATGACGATCATCCTGGTAAGGTTAATATAATATTGGATGCCGTTAGCCGAAAAAGAAGAGCAGTGGCTGATAATATGCGGATTGAAGAACAAGGGAGTCCAGTAGAATTGAAGAAGATGGGTCTACGGCTAAGTGTGGGCCTTGAGGGGTCACTACTAGCTCAGCTAAAAAATCAGTCTGTGCTTCAAGATAAAGTCCTGGAAGCTCAGCATAAGGATGAGGAAATAAGGAAGATCAAGAAAAAGATGAATCAAGGCATGGAAATGCCTTCTTAAATTTTCGCATCTATTCTTCAATGCAGCTGTTCAACTTAAATTTCAAGGATGAAATTTCTACTAGGAGTAAAGAATGTAAACCTTAAATATAAACTTTTGAAAAAAAAAAAGAACTTTAAATTAACCATATGACAAAGAAGATGAGGTTAAAGGTATGGGAAAAACAAATAAATTTAGTTGTTAAAGAGGGGGTTTTTTAAAAGATAAAAAGTAGTACAACTCAAATTATAAAAAGATAGAAAGAATAGACCAAGTATATAATTTAAAAGAATGGGACTATAAATATCACATTTTCTCCTCCATGAGGTCAACAATAAAGAAAGAAACAGGAGGGCGACGATTTCAGATTTCTTCCATTAAAATTTAAGATAAAAACACCAAAATTATTAAATCTATACAAATTCTAGATTGCTAGGTAGAGAAAACATCATTTGGCAAGGGAATTAACAAGAAAACAAGTGAAGAAATTTTGAGGGAAAGAAAGGCGGAGGGCAACTACATGCAAGGAGGGAGGAGTTAAAAATCTTCAACCAATTTAAAATAAAAATTTCCTCCACTTAAGGAGCCTTCAACTTAACTATGAAAAGCAATTTGAATTCAATTAGAAATTAGGCACTAATTTTGAAATTTAAAAATTAAGGTTCTTGAGTAAAATTAAAGAAATTATAAAAATTATTAAAATTAAGTTAATTGAAATATTATAAATGATCTTAAACATGAAATCATGTAAATATATTAAAGAAAAATCAATGGCCAAAAGAACAGGAGTGGCCAACCATTTAGGGGATGAATGGAAGGATAAATTTTTTTTATTTTCTTCATAAAGTCTTGTGATATGTTATTATAATGTGAACAATGATTAAATGAGATAAATAATTGCATGAGAAGGAGAAGAAAACTCTTGGTTTCATTAGGCCAAGTTTCTGACCAAGGCTAAATTAAAGAGGAGGAGAAAGAGTCTTGAGAATTCATATGTTAATGATAAATGAATTAGAAGTGGTAGGAAGTTTACTAATAAGGAAAGTATGATAACTTGGTAGTAAAGTACTTCAGAAAGCGAATGCATGTGTTACATGAGATTAAAACAAGTTTAGAGGTCATATGTATAGCCTATTGCTTGTCTTAGAAAAAGTTTTGAAATGTAAAAGAAATATGGAATTCAATGATATGAATGTTTCTTGTAATAGTTTTTTAGCACCTTACATGATACCTTACACAAAAAGAGAAAAATTAGCTTAAATAGCTCTTGGAAGGTCATATTTAGGAAGGTTACATGCATATAACATAGAAATAGTTTTCTTAGAAGGAGAGGGGGAAATGGGAATAATTAAAGGTTCGTCTAAACCATTTGATGAAAACTGGACGGATTCATCACCTTGATTCCAGAGAGGATTCAGGTCTAAAAATAATAAAATTTAGAAAAAGTATCTAATAGAAGTAATAACAAAGAATGTTACATTTCGAATGAGTCTGAACTCACTTAATTTGGAGCTCTAGAACCTAGATATAGATAAATATCTGAGGAGAGGTCGAGCTACAACCTCTACTAACATTTTCAACAAATTAAAAAAATAAAAAATTTAATCATGTTAGGGGCAGAATCAAGTTTCCTTCCCTTGAAAAATGTGTAGTGTTGTGTCTTCAAGTTCGAAAGAAAATAAGCCATATTCAAAACTATTTTTATGATGTTAGTTATGATTTCATAATGAACCATAATATTAAGAGATGTAATGGAAACACAAATGTAAAGGAAATAATTGTAAGAAAAAAGTTGAAGTTTTTATTGTTATTATTATTGTTGTTGTTGTTATGTGAAATGTAACTTAAGTAAGAAATAATGTGATATGCCTGTGGATTCGAGGGGGACCGTGAGAAGGGCACAATAACAATAAGGAAGTGCGAGTCAAGTTTCTGTAGCAGGTAAGTGTCCTATACCTATACCATTCTTAAATATCTGTAACTTTGGAAATTTGTTTAATTTTTAGATTGTGTAAATATTGATGTTGCTAAAAGGAGAATTGATCAGATGGAGATGAAAAATGAAAAACAAACTTGACTAATTGTTTTGGTTAGGAATAATCAATTTTATTGATGAACTTCATTGATAACTACTTTTTGAATTTGATTAGCTGGTCCCGAGTGTAGGAGACTAATGATGTTAGTAAGGTTTACTAATGTTAGCACGATTATCCTAGAGAATAAGGGATATTGAATTTGATTAACTATTTGAGTTAAGAATAGTTAATAGCATCGATGGGTGACTTCGATATTGGCAAATCTATAAAACTTGATTAGCTATTTTTTATATGAAAGCTAATAATGTCAAGAATCCTTGACATCGACATTCTCAGAGATATTCCAAAGTGTTATGGAAAATTAATTAACTATTTCGAGTTAGAAATAGTTAATGACATCAAAAAACTGCATTGATATCAATATTTATAACAAACTTGATTAATCGATTCTGGTAAGAGCGACTAATGATACTAATAAGAATCATTAGTGTTGGCATTACCATCCAAAAATTTTGGTGCGAAGTGGTTTGATTAGTAATCTCGGTGGAGATTGATTGCTGGCATGAGTGAAATAAAAATTGATATTTTTAAAAGAATTATTCTTCAGTATTAATATATGATAGTGGTCAAAATGTGGAAGGAAAAGGTGGAATGTTTAGTGATTTCTAAAGGGATAAATCTAGAAGCATTAAAAGGAGATTAGATGGAGAATTGTAAATAATTATGACAGTGTGTAGCCTTGAAAATACATGCATATATATATATATATATATACACACACACATATATATATATAGTTTGATTGTTTTTATGTTAATATTGCTTTTATTATAACTATTTTTAAATATTTTGTTGCAGGTTCATCATATTTATGATATGAGTAATATTTTAGATTTTTTTTTATTTTTTGTGTTATTTAGAACTAAACAAATGTTGATAAATTTTATATATCAAGAAACTATTATAACTTAAATTGTAATGGCATCTTTCAAATCAAGTTTATGAATATAAAATTATAGTGTCATATATTTGTAATCTTCATGTATGGTTATTTCTTTTATTTAAGTACTAAATCATGTATGTCTTTAAAATACAAATATTTGAGAAATTATGGTTGTATTAGTGAATATTGATGAAGATTGAAACTTAAGAAGATTGGATTGTGATTTATAATTAAATAATGATTAATAGAAATATATAGACAAATAGGATTATGATTTGTGATTGGATAATAATTAATAGAAATATATAGACTATTTGTCGATAATTTAAAACTTCCTGATATAAAAAAAACTCGAAATTTCAGTGAATCTCGTATGAATCCAGTTTCAAAAAAAACAATTACCATGTTTTGCCTATTATATGATTGATGTGTGGTCCTGAAAGTTGGGGTATTACACCATACCTTAGGTTTATCCTCAACTCCTGGCCCTTGAATGTTGTAGGCAGACACCTCTTGGGAGGCAATCGAAGCAGATTTTTCAACAGGTGCAGATTCGTCGTCCTTTCTTCCCAACATAACTAAACTTCTTCTCTCTTCCCTTCTTACTTCCGCGAAAGCCTCATTCAGAGGAGGTAGTGGCTGTCCACTATTAACTCGACCCTTCAACTCGTCAAAATCAATATTTAAACCTGAATATACTGTTTGCAGGAATTGATCAGGCTTGCTCTATGATTCTGAAAGCTCCCTAGCTAGATCTATATGGCAATATTGGAGAAATAAGGCCATGCATTTTTTTTAGAGTGGAGGACGTTAATGGAACATCGTGCTTGGGATTTCTAGGAAGTAATCAAACCTGGTGTCGTGTGGCATATCGATCTAGTGATGACCCTCTAAGAACTGTAGTTAGTAGATATGAGCAAATTCAAGGTGTATGGGCTTTGCCTCTTATTTCTCCTCATGGCGATGCTAATTTCTCCGCTGACTTGAAGGGAAAAGATTGTTCGAGATTCAGTAAGAAAGAGATGGATTGTTTTGTTGTATATGGAGTTCTTAATTCTTAACACGAGACAGCTTCACAATAAGAATTCAAAGAAAGCACTGTGACTAAAAATCTCCATGCTGATTCAGAGAGAGATAACAATAACAATTAACGTCTGATTTTATTATGAAGAGGACATACACATGGGTGGAGATACATATTAAAAGGTTAATGAGCGGAGTCAAATGCACATATTACAGACAGCATGATAGATCATGTTCTTCTCGATCCAGACGCAGTAGGACTTTGTCAATTACTTGATTATATGTTCTCATCCCTCCCACCACGGCACTTATTAATTGCTTCGCAACCTCTATGGTACCCATTTGCAGGTGCCTTCACACATGGATGTTTTGGGCCACATAGGGGTTCGTGATCACCTTTAACGATAGCTCCATAATGAATAGATTTAGTCGCCTCTGCATTTCCTGCAAACAGAGTGCATACCATCAGCATGCAAAGCCCCAAAGCCATCAATTTGTTTGAGGGAGACATTGTTAACAAGTGCAATGGTCTTGTATGCTAATGTGTTGAAGAGAGGAAGGAAGGAAGGGACGGAAGCAGAGAGCTGAGGAGGTTATTAATTTGAATGCTAGTTGAAACCCATGGGATTTATACGTGCATGGATTTGCCTAAAATAAGGCATATTAGTTGGCCTCTACAACTCATCCTGTTAACTCCATCCTACATTGTAGATGATAATCTGTTCTGCGTCATTCCAAACAGATATGGAGCTGGGCTAGTTTTCTGTTAGAAAAACGGTGTAAATTATCATCTGGATAAGACACCGAGAATCAAGCATTTGGTAGATTGCTAAAGTAGCCAACCGAATGACCATCCCTGAATTGTTAGAGGATGAATGCAGATGCTATTTCTGGCAATTAAGGCCAGCTTGACGCTCAAGGGCTAATTAACTTCTGGAAGGTGAAGGAAAGAAGTCAAGTATGAAAGAAACAAGAAGATTTGATGATGATGAGACGAGAATACAGACAACTGGCACAGAATATTTGGCCAGGTATTACTTTCCAGGAGGTCTTGAGTTTCTCAAAATCTTGCTGTTTTTTTTGTTTTTGGGTACGCAGGAAATAAACCAAATAGACTCTAACATCTAATAAAGAAACTTGGACACACCAAATGCCTGACAAGAAATCATATTCAGAACTCGAAGCATCCACACCACACTATCAAGCACACCGTAGCAGCAGAATGAACAAGGCAGATAGCATCCTGCCGTGTTTCCATTTCTGGTGTCAAATTCTCATCAGGTCACCCTGATAATCTGAACTAAAATCCACAGGTCTCTTGTAGCCACTATTTCCATTTTTCTTCAACACCATCAAGCGAGATAGTTGCTGGAGACCATTTTTTGAAATTCTAGAAATGGGAATTCTGCAGACAGAATTGTTTGACGAATGAAAGGAAGGGAGAAGCGTCTTTTCATCTGGATATTTGAGTGTTATCGATTAGTAGGAAAACTGTTTAAAGATAATTGAAAACGTGCAAGAGACAGCTCCTGAATCTTGCTTTGCTATGTTGCCTTGTATGCTCTTACTGCTTCAGCACAAGATGGGCAACATTCATCAACAGATATGTGTGTGTGTGTGTGTGTGTGGATGCAAGAGAATAGTAACAGAGCATCCTGAGCTGTCAATTGGAAGAATTTAAGGTGTGCTAGGAGAGTCTTGGGCAAATCACTAATGGTTGACAAAATGAAGCCTGGCAAGAACCATAGGAAGAATTATGTATACCAAAAGAAATTATGGAATCTTAATAAAGTTTTAGATTAAAGAAAGTGTTTTTCTAGGCCAAGAACATGAACATTGGTTGGGATTTTTAACATCGTTTCTGGTTGACACGAAAGAATAAGATTCGAAAGATCATATAAAAATAAAATCGTCAAATGCTGTCAACAATCTAATAAGACAGTACATTCCAAAAGTTTGGATCATTGAAGTTTTGATATTCTCAAGCAAATATCGAAGATCTGCATTGTTAAGACTCAGATATATATTCCAGCATGTCTTAAATTTTAAACTTGATTTATGCTGAAATGTTACTGCAGCACAATAACACATATATTTGGAGTTCTGTCATGACTTTAATCCACAGGGCTCCCATTTATCCGATGCTTGAGAGTGTTGATTCTTGGGTTGACAATCAATCCAAACTATAATTTTAGTAACCAAGCTATATTTTTTTCTAAACCCACTGCAATTGTGTTTCAGGTTAAAAAATAATGAAAATAATGTTGTTTTGGTCAAAAAAAAAAAAGAACAAGAAGAGGAGGAGGAGAAGAGAAGGGGCATTATTTCTTGAAATATAATTTGCTTGCACACATTCAAAAGACGAACAACAACTCCTGCTATCAGGGCGGCCATTGGGGTAAGGTGATGGACATAATAAATCTCTTTAGATTTCTCAAAGAATAGTAGCGGAAAAAAATAATCTGCCCGGAATGGGCATTATGTACCCTCTCATCGCATAGCTCCACCAAATCCATGATTACATTACCAATTTCTTGAAGGAAAAAAGAATACATAACCAAAACAAAAAAGTTGACCAGTATTTGAGTGTTGCTGCTCCTCTACAACTCAAATATAAAAAGCGCCATGTGAAATATGGCTTTTAAACAAAATGGCTACAGGTCTGAACAGAAACAGAGTGTACCCGTGCTCTGCGTCAACTGCCTCCCTTCTGCTTGAGAGTGATCTTATCCCCTAAGCTGAGGGCTATTCCCTGGGTCTTGCTCCTTATACGGATGTACCCGCTAAGCTTCCCATCCAATTGCTTCTCGATGCTCACGTTAACAAGAGCGTCCTCACCAAAAACACTCTTGGCATACAAATTTGCAGCCAGGAAACCGCAGTCACCATCCAGTGCGGACCTGAAATTCAACCACCCAAGAGAGTGCTTGGTCAAATACCAACGGAAGGACATCAGATCGGTCAAAGAGTCTGTTATCTGTGTGTGTGTGTGTCTGGAGAACATAGACCAAAATAACTTACGGTGCAGTGAGACACTTCATATTGGTAGACTTGATGATGTGGTCCAGAAAATCCTTCTCGCTTTGGATTATTGTGTTCACAGCGACCTGGAACAAGTTAAATGCAAAAACATGATTAGAAATTATTATATATCAAGCACTGTTCCTAATGGATGTAGAAGAAAAGATTGCAGAGATCTATATCAGAATAAGAAGACAATTTAACAGCGGAGTACGAGGAGGAAATTGAGATCAAATCAAGAAACATCCAATTTAAAGACAAGCACATAACCAGAATTCAGGCAAATTACAATATCAAAGACAACATTGAATAAAAGGACACTTCCACCAACAGAAATTGCAAAAGAGAATAGTTTAGATTGAAGCCAGCCAAGAAACAATTTTCTCGAGTGAAAAACAGAGGAAAATTATACACCAAAATAGCTAAGCCTTTGCATTGCTGCAAATAACAATGATGGCTTCACATCAAGCCACAGTTCTAGTGGCATTCACTCTATATAAACTGAATGATACAGTTCAGAATTGAAATTGTCACTCCAGTCGTGTCCCAGTAACTAAAACAAGTTAGGCTTATATCCTTGCACAATGATGCCAGTGAAATTTGAAAAAGTCTTGTATCATTGCAGGTGGCATGTAACACAAATCAGAGTAATAAATAAGTCAGAGAATGCCAGGGGTACCTTGTTTTCCCATTCAAACTCTGCCCACATTGACCTGAAAGCTGCATCTGTGCAAACCGCAGGAGAGATGTAATCCATGATATCAATATGGATGTCATTAAGGACAACAACTGTCCGCTCAAGTACATTGGACGCCTCATACACAATATTGCCAAAAATCACTCCCGTCTCTGTTGAGGACACCTTGATGTTGGCCTTTATCTGCCTACTAGACTCGGGAGCTAGGGTGTAGTTCTGGGGCCGCTCCACCAGTTTCAGATCACCCATTGTGGCAAGTTCCAAGCACAAATTCTGGAGAGTTTCTGTTGTCCTGTTGATCACTGTGACATCAAGCACAATGTCATAGTGATGAACTGTCACATAAGCTTCAGCATAAACAGGGTCACTAAATCCTGTGAGCTGAAGGATGCGATTAAGCTTATTTGCATCATCCCCATCCTTGATGAACTCCCCAGTTGCTCGCTTCAAATCATCTTGAACTTCATCTTCCAACTCCAGTTGACTCATACCCTGAAATTTTGATGATGTCACGAACACTTAAATGTGAATATTTTTACTACAAAACTGAAACTTACTGTGATATCAATTAACAGCATCTGATATCAAGCAATGTTTAGACAATCAACTAATGAACTTAAGAGGCCTGACCATTGAAACATGAGGAAAATATCAACTTGACATAGAAAACATCATAGCAGGAAATATTCACCAGCATCGAATCTATACTAGCAACAAAAAATTGTAAAGTCTAAAACTGAATATATCTAAAACCAAGTGCCCTTTTCAGATTATATCAACTTGACATAGAAAACATCATCGCAGGAAAGATTATCGAGTGTAGCATCTTGACTAGAAAAAAAAAATTGTAAAGCCTAAAACTGAATATATCTAAAACCAAATGACCCTTTCGGATTATATCAAGCAGATCCAACTCTCAAGAAATGAAACAAGTAAACAACTTTTAAAATGACAGTTCACAAAATCAGAAAAGTTGTGTTAGATATGCAGATGCTGAGTTACAAGGGGGGAAATGCAGCATAGCTCAAAAACAAATATTAAAGTCATCTTTTCATAAGTAACTATCAGTGAATGTATCAATGATAGTGACAAATACTAATAACCAAATTTAGCAGTGGGTCCTAGCAAACTCCTAGTCAAAAACTAAAAATTTCAAATCTTTCTTACCTTTCTGCTCTTCAAATGGTAGAAATCAATGAGGTCATCTGGCTGCGCATAAGAAACCTGAGCCTTTGCCTTTAGTTCCTCAGTTTCCCTCAACTGTTTCTCTGAAAGCATTTTGACAAAACTCTGACGGCATGACTGCAGCCATATCTTCCTGACCTCGTCACCTGTACTGCATAGTAATCTTATGCAAAGGACAATCCTATCATAAGAGTCACAGTCAATTGGGTGTGACAGGACTGGTGATTGCCCAAGTTGTATCATAGAGACCATGATCAACAATGCCTGTGTGGATACTTTGTTTACTTCACCCCTAGAAGGCTGCACCTCTTCCAATCTCAGAGCAAGCTTTGTCAAAGTGCACGCCACAACTGCTCCAAGGAAAAAATCACCAGTAAGAAGAAGGGATCTCAAGTTCCCAACAGCCAATGAACCCTGAACAATGCTTGGAGGTGAAAAGGCAGTTTCAGAAGCAGCACTCTGTGTTGCATAAGTCCCATCAGAAAGAATGGCAGGTCTTCTAGAAGAAACAGTAACAGAACTTGGTTGTTGAGAGTTCTTAGAAGCATCAGTGGGTGCTTCCCCTTCTTCTGAAACTGAAAAAAATGGTAGCTCTCCCAGGCATTGCTTGATAGTTGCAATACCACTTTCAACTTCAGAGAGGGATAGGCAATACTCGCCAATAATCCAGAGAGCACAGCAGCAAACCCTTGCAGCTCGTATCTGGTAGAAAGTGTCTAACAGTCTTGTTATAATTGAAACCCTCAGTTTTGGATTTGTCTCAATTATCTCCCGGATAAATATTGCCACATCAATAGCTGAAGCAACATTACTGTCACCCAGGAAATCCATCAACAGGTGAACCACTGTGCTTGCCACCTCTGGGAACTTGATGGCACAAGAATGGATGGCTTGGATGAGCATCTGCCTGTACTCGCCATTCTTCTCAAGCTCTCCATTTTGAGTCTTCATAACTTCCTTCTTCAGCATGAGAACAACCTCATTGATGTTCCTCAGGGTGATCAACTCAAGGACAATATCTAGGGTCTTTCTCTGAATGTCAAGATTCGGGCTGGATAGTGCCCTAAGCACATCCATTATCCTGTCAACCATGATCTCTCTATGAGAAGACTTGAGCTCATTCAGACGATCAAGAACAATAAGCTTTACATTGTTGTCACTCTGTGAGAGAAGAAGCTGGCAATAGGTGTTGGCAGCAGCTCTGATAGCAGTAGGTGCAGATGACAGAGAAACAAGTGTCCCAGCACACTCGTAAATAACTGCATTAGAAGGGGCATTCAGCAATGATATAATGATCTTAATGTATTTTCCCTTTTCTCCCCGATTCGTTCTGCACACCTTCCGAATCAACTCTAGGACAACCATCTGCAGCAGTTCACCCCATTCAGAGACCTTATCAACATTGGTCAAGAGGTAATTAATGGCCCGATTTTGATCACAATTAAATAGCATGAGAAATGCATTCCTCTTTGCTGATTGATCCTGCTCTGTTGATAGAACCTTCTCAATCATTTCAGGAGCATCAACCAAAACCTGCTCACCATGAGGGAGCCTATAAATGGACATCACAGCTAAGATAGCATTCCTCCTAATGAATGGATGCCGGTGTTCAAGATTCTGGAGGACTGAGGGGATAAGCGGCTCAATTATTTCTGTCTCATTCAATCGACAGAGAAACCTCAGTGTCACCCCTCGAATGTATTCATTGGGGTGCTGCAGATTGTTCCTCAGGTTTTGGCAAATGAGAATCATCTCTGGTAACACCCTACCCTTCTGGTCCTTCTTGTCAATAATCTCCAGATACAAAAGCAAAAGTTTCTGGACCGTGTGGTCTTCTGATGGCAGGACATATCTGACTATGGTGATAAAAAGCTGTGGTAAGGTTTCCCCATTCAATAGAAGACTAACTGCCTTCTTCATGGCATCAATCTTCGCTGGCACATCACTGCCTTCAAGTGCTTCTTTGATCTCCGTAGCTATAGCTGGGGTTCCTTTATCAAAATGCACAAGAAGAGTGCAAGACTTCTCCATCTCTTTTTTATGTCCTGGTAATACACCAAAATCATGTTAATTGAATTCAATATAAGATGAACAGGCAAGAAAAAGAAAAAGAAAGAGAGAGAGAGAGAACACCAACTTTGAAAAACAAAACGGTGCACAGACAGTGAAAAATAAAATGTAAGGAGGTTCACTGCTCCCTGGGATTGGCTTTGTCTATTTAGAAAAATGCAAAATACCATAAAAATCATGATATATGCATTTAGTTTCTGTATTTCATATTCTTATGCCAACAGACCACCAATTCTTAACAACATCCTACCATTTCCACCTACTCTACAGATCATCACCAATACTTTCTGATAGCATTAACACACTGACCAAATTTTTCTACCTACATCATAGATGCCACAATAATTTACATTTTTCATTAACACAGTAATATCAATCAGCAGGTAACCTAATTTGTAATTAGCAGGAAAATCAAATCATAACTAAGCATTAAAATTTAACAACATTCTCATTGTACCTTCTTCGAATCTCAAACACTACATGATGAGATCACTTATTGAACAAAACAAAAGTTTCACGACAGAATTCTTAATTACTCCCTACTATTTTCACTAGTGGTCCCCAATCACCAAACTTACCTCCATTATAGATCTGGCACGATTAACAAGAAATTGTAGCTAAATCTCTGATTAGCATAAAAATCATTTTGTTCAACTAACTAACTACATTACTCAAAAATCAAAATTAGATCTAATAATTAATTAAAAAAACACATTGCAGATCTGCTTAGTCTGAATTCAGATCAGAAACCTAAATGCAAAGCCATAATCAGACGATACGTCGTCGTGTTCTATTGTGAGCCAATGAATAATCTATTCAGATCAGAAACCTCAAATGCAAAGTCAGAATCAGACGATACATCGTTTCATTCAATAGTCTATTCAGATCAGGAAAAAAAATAGAAACCTAAAGATGAACCAATTCGAGGAGGCATAAACGATAGTAGTAATCATTAAAAACGGCAATCTGTTTGGGCTCAGACAGATTCATTCTCTCGATAGAGGATTAGAGAGTAAGAGAGAACGAACCGTGTGGCGATGAGATCCAACGAAGTGAGAGATTTGCGTGAAATTGAAACAGCAAACCGAGTCGAAACTAGTTAGAAGGGGAGAGAGATTATTTGAAACTGAGTCGGATCAGATCCAGCCCATGTGTTCTTTATTCATAATAAACCGAGGAAGGGAAGTGCAGTGTAATTTTTAAAGTTTGTTATGGTTTTCTTGGTAACTGCATGTGTGTGTGTTTTTTCCTATTATATTATGTATATTAATTATAATTATTTGTGAAAAAAATAATCCTTAGATTTAAATTCATTTATCATTTAATCAATTTCATACTTGTTTTTGATAAATAAATGGAAGAAAAGAGAGCTTGGTAAGGTAAGAAGATCTAGTTAGCAAAGGAAGGTATTTTAAGAAAAAAATTATTAAATTGAGAATAGTTGGTGTTATTTAATAAATTATCTGATTATTTTTACAATTTATTATACAGTTTTAATAAACTATAGAGACTAAGTTATAATTAATTTTATTATTTAATGATTGTATATAGTAACATATAAGTGCAATTATTTTATTGGATTGGTTAGGTATAACTCGAAAAATAATAAATTTAAATGAATTATCTATTATTAAATTAAAAATTACTTAATTATTAATAAATTGCTAAATTAAATCACCAAAGTTTATAATTATTTTTTAGCATGATTTAAATTAATAGCATTAGCTTGTTAATGGTTTCAAATTTGTTAAAAATATTTTGTGGTAAGAAGCCCATATTTAATTTTGAGCCCATTTAATTTTTGGGAAAAAATGTTCCATTTTTTAATAATTAAATATTTGTCAAGCTGATTTCGATTTCCTTGCTCTACAAATTGATTGAATATTTTTCAAGGTCTGATTCAGTATGTTATGAAGCTCGAATACGAACCTCAAGATCATGGCTAGCTGCTGCCAAACTTTCAATCACACAACAAAAAATATTGAAAAAACTTGAAAGTATTATGTACATCATAATAAGAACAAAAGGTAGCTGCTACATCTGTCTACGTTTGATCAAGAAGATCATTATTTGGATAATTACAAGCTCTCAAGTTTTACTATTGGACAGCTAATTTTCTAGCACACAGAGAGCAATAATATCTCTTCTTGGTCTTGAAATAGAGAGGCAAGAAGCAAAACCTCCACTGGCTCTCGACATCCATGGCTTGAACCATCCCTCCACAGTATGGACATGCCCCAGGTGCTGGTTGCCTTGCTACCACCCTCTCATCCTCATCACACACAAATACCAAGCACATCTTTCCCTTTCTTGATTCGAACTTCCTTCTTAATTTCCTTTTCTTGATCGATGATTCCTAGCAGACTGTCGATTTTCTCGACAGGGCTTGGGGTTTTTTATAGAGACAACTTGGAGCAAGATGCTTGAGATGTCCGGAAAGATGTAGAAAGCATGGACAGGAAGGGAAGGGGAAAGAGGAGGAGGAGAGAAGTTTTGTGCTCACCGTGTGAGTCTAGAAGATTCTGACCGAGTCGGTTGATTTTCTGTTTATTTCTAATTAAGATAAGAATCTTTCTGTCATGTCGCGTAACCTCGTTCAACCATTCATTACAGCAGGAAAACGCGTTTAGCAGGATATTTTTAAATAAATAATTTTTATTTTAAAATAATATTTTATTATTATTTAAAATTTAATTTTAATACTATCATGTTAAAATTATCTGAAAATATAAAAAATTAATTTAAAATATTTTTTTTTAATATTTCTCAAAAATTAAATGGAATAATAGATTAACTTGACTTGTGTCTATTTAGGTGATGTTTAAAATTATAGTGCATGATATTTTTAAAAAATATTTTTTTAATTTTTAATATTAATATATTAAAAAAATAAATTTAAAGTTTTTTAAAAATAAAATTTTAAAAAATATATAATCTAAACGCATACATGATATTTTAAGGAGTGTCTGAATAAAAATGTAGTTATTTTTTTATAATATTCACTTAAAAAGCATATATTTTTTTATTTTTGTTAAGTGTAATTTATACTTAAAAATAATTATATTTTAAACAAAAAATCAATCATACTTTTAACCCAATCATGTTTATTTAAGAATAAGGTGCGGTAAGATAAGGTTAAGTTTTTTTATTGATATAATTCTCTTAAAATATAAATCATATCTTACTAAACGTTAAAAATATGTATTTTTTTATGAGTGATAAAAACACTCATTATATCTTAATTTTAAACACACTTTTTAAAAGTAAATTACTATTTTTTAAAATTACTATTTTTTAGTATTATTTAATAATTTTAACTGGTTAATATTAAAAATAAAAAAAATCTCAATATAACACCAAACACATTTTTAATGCTCATCCACAATGCAATGCATTTCCAATGATGGTTTTAGTGGAAAATATCTGAACAATCCAATATTTTTATTTTAGATTGAATAAATTCATTCGGATAGATAAAAAAAAATTAATAAAAAAGTTGTTTAAACCTGGTAAAAAAAAAAAACGATTTTTTCATTGACTCAACTTCAACCAAGACTGAGCTGATGTATTTAGACATTTTTTATAATATGTTTTTTTACTGTAGCTTATTGAGCTGTTTTAAAGTCCAATGATTTTCTATCTTGTGCTAAGTCCATTTAGACTGAGATCATGAATGAATTCTTCTATTAAAATAAATATATAAAAAGAAGAATGTTATATTTCAACATCAGAATTAGGGACCTGCCTCAAATATTTAACCTTGATCAGATATAGCCTTCCAAGAATACTATGCTTCTGCTTATAAGCTCTGGGAATTTGCATTATATTTCCTTTTGATTTTAGTGGTGTTCATAGCTTGAATGTATTTCACTATACATGGTGCAGGCAGAATACAGCTGCGCTATATTTTCGCTTGCCTGGCAGAACGTGTTCCCAAGCAGAAGGTTTTCATTTCTTTCTTTGTTTTTCAAGAAAAATGAAAATAAAAGTTATTTAATTATAATACTTGGTGTTCTCGTCTGCAAAGGATTACAATCTTCAGAAATGTTGCAAAGTTAAATTTAATTTTTCAATAAAATTCGATATCGTGAAGATGATTGCTATTCTTAAAGCCTCTTCCTTTCTGCAAAAGTGTACCTTAGACTTTGATGGAATGGTTCTGCTAGACGATCTGGAATATAGTATCTGGTATAAAAGCCAATTCAGAATTTAGAATAACCTGTCACGGGAATAATCTAAAGTTTATTCTACAAAGTCCACTAAAATATTGGAGTTCGAAGAAAGAAAAAAAAGCATATTATGATGTTCTAACTTTATCGTGACATGAACTGGTTACCTTCTCGAGATAAAAAAGAGGAAGATATTAGAGATGGAGAGGACATGTTCCCTGTCTTTTTTGTTTTAAAATGACAGAAAAATTTATTTTATGTCTTTCTCTCTATTCTTTTTCAATGAAACTCGTTTATATCCTTTATGTATATGTCTTTTCTGCTATGAAACACTAACCAAATGCAACATAAAATTAGTCCATGATTGGAATCGGTGCTTCTCCTCCTGCTCCTCTCGTGCTTGTTCTTTGATACGAACAAATCCCTCTTTGAAAACTTGAAGTTCGAAGATGTTGCTGGGATATGGAGGAGGCTAGGCCTCAAAGTTCTCTAGACTGGATTCTCTTGGACTATGGTTATTTCGGTAACATGCTGCAGTTCATTTTTTGCTGGCCCTTGTGAACACCTGGGCTTTGGTTATTTCTGTGCGTAATGAAGATGCTTTTTCAGAAGTAACATGCTGATGTTCATTTTTGGACATCAGAGGAAACATTTTCATTGATGAAAAAGGAAGGATAAACCTTCTTGACCAAATAAATAAAATTGACAGCAGAAACGCACAAGACAAAAGTAGCTATCTACCAAGTACAAAATTGCATCTATGAAACATAACACAAATTGAATGTCCTAATTTCCACAACCTCATTACCAAGAAGCAGCTGATGGATCCCTACAATGTTGTTCTAAATTTCAGTAGAAGCTCAGCATCACTGTATAGTCTGGAACTTTAGTGTGTTTTGAGGCTAAACTACACTAGACAGGCGTCTTTCTTGTCAACAATGCAACAGCCACCTAAGTTATTAAAAGAGGGCTCAACTTCAGCAGCCAAGCTATGTCATTAAAAATCATTTCGCTTCTAGTTTCCTGTCAGAAATCTTTGATGGTCATAGTTCAGTATGCAATGCAGATGTAGCAAGAACTTTCAAACTCAGTCACAAAACCGAAATCTGAACAGAAGATCTGCTCTAGACAGGGGTTAGTGAAGATGTTTAAAATTTATGTATAATTTGATGTTTAGTACCACAAGAATTGAAACTGATGAGATGTAGCCTTCCAGAGAAATTATGTTTTGGTTCACTGGCTCTCCTAAATCGTCTAATTGTTGCCTGTTGTACAGGGATAACGAAGCTTTCTAATGCAGATCTCTTGAATTTTGCACTTGGTTGTGGTCAAGATGTTGTCTTTGATTTCAGTTCAGATCCTAAGTTGAAGAGATTTGTCATTGGTGCAAACGAAAGACAGCTGCACTATGTTTTCACTCTGTTGTCAAAACATGTTCCCAGGATGAGCAGTTTGACTGTCAAGACCAGGTATGCAACAGCTAGTTAGTGATCGGTTACTCTCTTAAGATTGAAGAAAATGAGACAGTGAAGATATATGGGATATTATATTTTGAAAGTACAGAAATTCACTCCAAAACTATCATGAAAACAGATTTATTTTATGTTTATGTCACTGTTCCTCCAACCAGATATATTTTTGTTCCTTCTATCCTGGGAACTAACCAAACACGTACTAGTAACATGATGTTTTTATTTATTTTTCACTTTTTTTCTCAAGAGAATTATTAATTACTAACAACTGGTGATTTCCGTTGCAGGTTATGTGCATGCCAGAAAGAATCACCATCTTCAAAGATGTTGCGAAGTTAATAGCAACACAGAATTTGATATCTTGAAGATGATTGCTATTCTTAGAGCCCTTCCCTCCCTTTTTTTGTGGTGTGTGATGCCATTATCCTCAAAGGGATCCCTTTTTTTGGTTTGAGTCTAATGCCGAGTTCACTTTTAGAGGCTCAGTTCAGATTAGAAATTTAAGAAGAAGAGGAAGAAGAAGAGAGGAGGGAGAGGAGCATTTATCTGTGAAGGAACTTCATTAAATGTTTAGGCTGGCTAACTCCTGACTCTACTTAATGTCACTGCCTGTTCTAATTGCAGTCTTGTTCTTCAGAAGACATGGGCCGAGGAAAGCTTGAGCATAGCGAACATGTCCATAAGCATCTGAAGCAAGTTGAAATTGGTGGATTCTATGACACCTCAAACCAGATTGAATTCGCCATTTACTTGTTTAAACATGCTATTTCCCTAGAGCGGATGGTCATCAATCCAGTAGGGAAATATTGTTCTGCGTTGAGGCAGTCATGGGATGAAGGAGAACGTGAAGAAGCCTATCGAGAACTGCATGAACCTGACTATCCACTGAATGTCTCTGAATCTTCATGGGATTCGACAATCAAGTTTAAGCTGTTTAATGTATTAGGATCTGCACTTCCTTTTGCCCTTCTGTGTCTGAAGTTCTCTGTTCTTGCTTGCTTTCTACGCCCTTGTTGAGAATCAACTCTCTTCAATGGTAGTTAAAGGTTCTTCAGAATATAATGCATGAATGATTAGGAGATTCCAGGCTCACTGCTTCTTCTGAATACTCTGGACATCGCCTCCTGTGTTGGGATACAGAAAATTGAGCTGTTTCAGAGTTAATCCAATCAATCGTGTAGTGTAAAACTAGATCAAGAACAAATTAATTAATTAATACCGCCCATGAGAATCACATACATGACAACAAACTTATGACAATGAATCACGTAATTGGGACCCAGTCATCCATTTACCTTTACACATAAGATTACTGTGTAAAATAAGATTTCAACAAGAAAAATCTCTGAGATTTTGCACAAAGTCACCCTTTTCTAGCATGCTTGTCGCGTTTATCCATGTAATCAATCGCCCTTCAAATTACGGCAGAGAAGACGAAGACAAAATAATGATAACGTTTTATAGCTGGGCCGTGTAGGCGAAACCACACAGTTCTCTACTATTCTTTTAGCTTTGGGACTGTAATTGCAATTAATTTTTTAAATATTTTTTATTTTTAAAAATTTATTTTTGATATTTTAGCATATAAAAAATTAATTTAAAGCGGATAAAAAATAATATTTTTTTTCAAAAAGCCTCCCCTGAAAAAAATTAATTTAAAGCAGATAAAAATAATATTTTTTTTCAAAAAGCCTCCCAAGTACATATCTTCATGCTTTTTAACGCAGAGTTTTCTCTTTTCAACCATATCTGCACGCTTTTACACGTCTTTATTGTCAAGTTGATGGAGGGGGCAAAACACGCTTACATCTGTTCTTGAGTTTCTGGCTCAGCATTCCATTCCCAGGAATAGCATGCGAGTCTCCACTTTGAAGATAGCATCGAAGTGTGGGGCAAAGCTGCTCTGGCAATGTCTTTTCGGAGAGGAATAGGTTCCCTCTTCATCCACACACGTGTCAATCAATCCAATGAAGCTGCTAAAAGCACACGGACCACTTTGGTTCATCCCACACTCTCTCCACATCGTACGGCAATTTGAGATTATTTTAGGATTTGTTTTATATAATTATTTTTTTATTAGAAATATATTAAAATAATATTTTTATTATTTTTAAAATAATATTTTTAACACCAATTCATCAAAATAATTTTAAAATATAAAAAAATAATTTTAAACTAAATTTTTTTAAAACATGGATGAATATTTACTTTTTTTCTAAAAAGTAATTTATTGATTTTATTTGAGAGGGTGTGTGTTTAAGATTATTTGATTAAAAAATTTAGTTTTGTATACATTTATTTTTTTAAAAAAAATTATTTTTAATAAATTTATTTTTTTTAAAAAAATCATTTTTAATAGTAAAATTAATTTAGGATTTTGTGGATAGTTTTGAATATCTTTTTTACTTATCATAATAATTTTTTTTATTAAATATAATTTTATTTGAGAGTGTAGTTGTGGTTGTTTTTCAAAGTATTTTTTGTATTTAAATATATTAAAATTATTTTTAAAATCTATCCAATAAAACAATTCAAAATATATATATAAATTAAATTTTTAATAAAATTTAAATCTTTTAAAAAACACAATCCACACTGTATTTCCAAACTGTATTTATAACATGATACAAAATCAAGTATATTTCTCGTGGCTAGTTAACATCTCTATCAATAGTCAAATCAAAAACAATATGGGATGGTTTTCGGCGCCGTTTGAAGGAGATTTACCTCAGCATAAGCATTACTGTCTTGATATGAATGCCCAAGCTTCACCCAATATATAATATATGATCTAGTGTTATTATTATATTAATAATGTCCTTGTTAATTCGATGTTTTGATTGCTTTAGTTAACTATGCATGACGCAAATGCAAAATTAAAGCAAAGTATTTTCTTTTTCAACTATAGTTTAACTATACACTCCTAGTCATTCTTAGTACATGTATTTAATTTTAAAATTATGTATCCAATAATTTTTTTAATTAATTAATATTTAAATACAAAAAATAGTTTAATAATATGTATGTGTGTATGTATACTCGTACTCCTATGATGGCAGGATGGACACCTTAATGTTCATTTCTATTTGGAAATAATTTTAAAAATTATTGCAGAGTTATCAATTATTTTAAATATATTGTTGTTTCGGACCTCTGATTCAATAACTAACAAAAAATAATTGAGTATAATGCAGGTCAAATAACTATAAGATCCTATTGTTTTGTAAGATTATTCAATAATTACAAGAAGAATTTAAGAAATCTTGCTTAGAGAAAATGGCACTCTAATCAAGATCTTTCTGCAAAAAAAAAAGAAGGGAAATGACAACTTAGACATCTCGACCCAAGTTAATCCAATAGTACATTAAGATTCGTAATTAATTAGCATGATCAATCTGCTATAGAAAAGTGAAATAAAATTTCAACGAAGTTGTTGAATCAATGTTGTTAAAATCGCGATTTTGACACGGCACGGAACATGCAAACCAAACTTGAATTATAAAAACGGATCGTAAAATCATAAAATCGTAAGGAAATTTAAAATACATTAAAAAAAATTATGTTTCAAATAAAAATTCATAGCATTTTTTTTAACTCAAATCAATTTATATTCTAAAAAAACCTATAAGTTGGTATGAGTTTTATAATTATATTTGTACTTGAGTTATGAATTAAAAAAATTTACTACATCAATCAAAATAATCAAAATAATGTTATTTTAATTAAAAAAATAAAATAACATTACTTAAAAAATAAAAGAATTTCAAACTAAAATTGGATCAAAATACAAGTTGATCCATTGAGTCATTTTAATTTAACCTAATTAACAATAATCTAATTTTTTTAAACATAAATAGAAATAGGTTTTGAGTCGATTGTCAATTCCGACTTGATTTAGAAGATATTTGGGTTAATTTTAAAAATAAATTTAATCTAAAAATGCATCATAATAATATTTTTTATTATTTAAAAATTATTTTTGATATTAATATATAAAAATAATTTAAAAATATAAAAAATATATCACACTAGAAGGTAGTTTTCACCCCATGTTCCAAACAGTGATAACACTATTTGTGTCATTTGTGCTGTGGAGAGATGGTTGCATCATTTCTGCTTCGGCCTGAAGAAAGAAGACGAGCCGTTGTCCACAAGGCATACCTAACAAATCAAGCAACAATGAATGCGTGGATGGTCTACGGAGCCCGATTCACAAATCACTATCCAACTTCGATCGAGACGTTCTTCAATTTTGAAGTGTTCACCACAGTTTCGACTCTGACATATCAGCCAGAAAATAATAATAATAATAATAATAAATCACACCCAATATTGTTTCAATTATTCTAATAGAATAGAATAGAATCCAATGCCCTCGCTGATTATAATTCAAACCGAATGTTGAAGGAAAAAGGAGGAAAAGGGCTGGTGGGTGGGCTCTTTTGTGACCAAAAAGCTGGTTCCTTGCATAATAATTGTTCGTTAAAAACTTCAAGAAAAATCTATGAAACGAAGTTCTCTTCACACTTAAAATGGGAACAAAATAACTTCATAGAAGGTGGAGAGAAAACACGTCTGCTGCCTTTGGAACAGGGCACAAGGAGAACTTTCATACTACTTATAGTAAGATTTGTTTAGGTGAAACAAAAAACAAAAAACATCAAAGGGCTGAAGCCAACATGTAGATAATATTATATAAAATAATTAATATAATATAAAGAAAGGATGCGCTTGAGATTTAATAGCTTATTTGGAAATGTGGAAACATGAGGGGCTGCTTTTCTACTCTTTAAATAATTTTTCATGTTAAAATATATAAAAACATGAGGGGCTGCTTTTCTGCTTTTCAAATAATTTTTTATGTTAAAATATATATTAATAATTTTTTTATTTTTTAAAAATTATTTTTAACACTAATACATCAATTATTTAAAAACACTAAAAATATACTAATTTAAAAAAATAAAAATTATTTAAAAATATTAAAAATATACTAATTTAAAAAAATAAAAAAATTTCAAACCTTTTTCAAAAATATTTTTTAAATACTAAAATAAACATACCCTAATCTGAAATTTGGATTGATATTTAAGTTAATCTAATAATAATTCTTTATTATTAAAGAAATAATTGATTTTTTTTATCAAAGTTTAACTTTAAAATTAGACTAATCTCAAATAAATTTAATTATTTATTTTTAAAATACAAAAATAAAAATGTCCTAATCTAAAATGGATTGATATTTAAGTTAATCCAACAATACTTGTTTATCGTTAAAAACAATAATTAACCTTTTCTATCAAAGTTTAAATTCAAAATTAGACTAATCTCAGATAAATTTACTTATACAAGAACAAAAATTAGTTTGGTAATTACTT